TTCGTGGCGTACTCCATCGCCATCGACGAGATTACGGATATCAACGACACCACCCAGCTGGCCATCTTCATCCGCGGCGTCGATGACAACTTCGACGTGTCCGAGGAGCTTTTGGACACGGTGCCCATGACAGGCGCCCAATCCGGGAACGAGATATTCCTGCACGTGGAAAAGAGCCTTAAGAAGTTTAGCATTGAGTGGTCCAAGCTGGTGAGCGTGGCCTCCACGGGCACCCCGGCCATGGTGGACGCCCACAGTGGGCTGGTGACGAAGCTCAGAGCCAGGGTGGCCTCGTGCTGTAAGGGAGCCGACCTCAAGTCCGTGCGCTGTATCATTCACCCCGAGTGGCTGTGCGCCCAGAAGTTAAGGATGGGCCACGTCATGGACGTGGTGGTGGAGTCGGTGAACAGCATCTGCTCCCGCGGCTTGAACCACGGTGACTTCACGACGCTGCTCTACGAGCTGGACACCCAGTACGGCAGCCTGCTGTACCACACGGCGCTCAAGTGGCTGGGCCGGGGGCTGGTCCTCAGGAGGTTCTTCGAGTCCCTGGAGGAAATCGACTTGTTCATGTCTTCCCGGGGCAAACCCATGCCCCAGCTCAGCTCCCGGGACTGGATCCTGGACTTGGCCTTCCTAGTGGACATGACAATGCACCTCAACACACTGGACGCCTCCCTCCAAGGCCATTCGCAGATCGTGACACAGATGTACGACTTCATCCGGGCCTTCCTGGCAAAACTGTGCCTCTGGGAGACGCACCTGGCCAGAAACAACCTGGCCCACTTCCCCACGCTGAAGTCGGTTTCCCGGAGCGAGAGCGACGGCCTCAACTACATCCCCAAGATCGTGGAACTGAAGGCTGAGTTCCAGAAGCGGCTGTCGGACTTCGAGGCCTGGGAAAACGAGCTCACCCTGTTCAGCTCCCCATTCGCCACTAAGATTGACAGCGTGCGCGAGGAGCTCCAGATGGAGGTGATCGACCTCCAGTGCAACACGGTGCTACGGACCAAGTACGACAAGGTGGGCGTCCCGGACTTCTACAAGCACCTCTGGAGCAGCTACCCCAAATACAGGAGCCACTGTGCCAAGATGCTGTCCATGTTCAGCAGCACCCACATCTGCGAGCAGCTCTTCTCCATCATGAAGCTGAGCAAGAAGGAGGCGCAGTGGGGCTCGGCGCTCCAGGCAGCAACGTGAGGGGGCAGGGGGCTGGAGCCTGAAGCCCCAGTCCCGGGAAGGCCAAGGCAGGAGGATCTGAGCTCGAGTTTGAGGTCAGCCTGGGCTCCGGATCAGTATCAAGACCCCAGAGGAAGTGCTGGAAGAGAAAGGGAAGGAGTGGAAATTGTGTGTGGAGACCTGGAATGTTCCAGTCCAAATAGGTTGTGAGATGAGAACGGCAGACTATTAAACCTCTTGGCTTAATAAAAGAAGAGTCCTAATTGGGATGCTAATTTGCATATCACACCTGTTCGGATGACGTTTGACACCTGGCTATAGTTCAGTAAAACCCAAAGCAGGTGTTTCCAGTGTTGGGTGCCTCTTGTTGCCGACTGACCTGTGTTGTTCATAATGCAGTCTTCAATAAACCCACTGTGAAAGGTGTGTGTGTGTGTGTGTGTTGAGGGGGTGTACGCACATACATGTGTCTCCCCATTTTACCAGCTTGTGGCCTGTGGTCTCCAAACCTCCTGAATTTAATCGTCTGGAGACGATTGTCCTGTATTCTGCAATTCCTGAGCTGTGTGCCTGGAGCTAGACCTGTCAGGAGTGAGTTAGAAAATGAGGGTAACTAACACAGGGTTTAACAGGTAAGTTGAGGCTTAAAGGCTGCCATCTCCTTCCTCCTCCCTCCTCTTCCTCACTCTTCCTCCATCCTTTCTCTGCCCTTCTCCCTCCTCCTCCTCACAGAATTTTATTATGCAGACCAGGCTGACCTAGCCTTAGCCTTAAAAGATCTGGGATTACAAGCCGGGTGGTGGTGGTGGTGGTGGTGGCGGCGGCGGCGGCGGCGCACGCCTTTACTCCCAGCACCCGGGAGACAGAGCCAGGTGGATCTCTGAGAATTCGAAGCCAGCATGGTCTACAGAGCAAGATCCAGGACAGCCACCAAAACTACACAGAGAAACCCTGTCTCGGGGTGGAGGTGGGAGGGTGGGATGGAGATCTGGGATTACAGGAACGCTCCATGACGTCTGCTCCAGAATCCTTTACCCTGGAATGTGACTTGGGACTGTGGGGGCTGATAAGCACTGCCACTGTGGGAGAAAATGGACTATGTGGGGGTGTTCTTCAGTAACCATGGCAATGAGATGTCTGTGGAGTTGTATGGCCAGATAAATGGGGAGGGGACTGGCCTGGAGGGTGGTTCTTGATGTGCTGCGATTTCCTGAGACCAGGCATTGATGTCCATCAGTCAAGGGATGGGGCTTGGAGAGGCCCAGACAAATCCAACCCACAAGGACACACCTACCTAATGAGAGCGAATCTAGTTCACACACCATAAAAAGTGGTCCAGCTAGCCAGGCCTGGTGGCACACACCCTTAATCCCAGCACTCCGGAGGAAAAGGTGGGTGGCTTTTTGAGTTTGAGGCCAGGTTGGTCTACTGAGTGAGTACAGCCAGGGCTACACAGAGAAACCCTGCCGAGAGAGAGAGAGAGAGAGAGAGAGAGAGAGAGAGAGAGAGAGAGAGAGAGAGAAAGAATCTCACTATGTATCCTTGGCCCAGGCTGGAGCTATCACCATGTAGACCAGGCTGGCCTCGAACTCACAGAGATCTGCCTGGCTCTGCCTCTCAAGTGCTTGGGATAAGGGTGTGAGCCACCACCGGGCTTATGTTGCATTAAACAATTGTGAGCATGAATAAACAAGGGTGGAGCTGGGGCAGGGCCTGACTTTTCCAGTTTTGTGTGACAGTGGTCAGTGCCAAGCTTTCTCAGTAGGCAGACTGTGAAATCCCCACCCAGTGGGCTCCAGGAGCTTCCTCGGGCCTCTCAATTCTCTGGTGATTGAATTATTGTCCCAAGAATCATCCATACACTGGTTAGTTTTCCCTCATCTCTGCAGGGGCCAGCATAGTCCATGTTCGCTTAGCCACTGGCCAGCCATTTGAGAACTTCATGACAAAAAAAAAAAAGGCATTGTCTGAGGGACTAAACTCTAAGCTTCATATTTGCTAGGCAAGTGCTCTACCACTGAGCCACACCCCAGCCCCTCACTGGGGGATTCTAGGCAGGGGCTCTACCACTGAGTCACACCCCAGCCCCTCACTGGGGGATTCTAGGCAGGGGCTCTACCACTGAGCCACACCCCAGCCCCCTCACTGGGGGATTCTAGGCAGGGGCTCTACCACTGAGCCACACCCCAGCCCCTCACTGGGCAGGTGCTCCTACCACTGAGCCTCATTTTGAAATAGATTCTCTCTAAGTTGTTCAGGCTGTCTTGGAATTTGTGGTCCTCCTGTGTCAGCCTCCAGAGCAGCTGAGATGACAGGCGTTGTACCACCAGACCCTGTTAGGAAAGTTGTCTTTTTTTGTAAGATGTGTGGCTCCATTCTGCATCACGGTTTCTGTCTTTGTCAGAGTTTCTATTGCTGTGACAAAACACCATGACCAAAAGCAGCTTGGAAAGGAAAAGGTTTATTTGGGTTATACTTTCATATCTTTGTTCATCATCAAAAGAAGTAAGAGCAGGAACCTGGAGGCAGGAGCTGATGCAGAGGCCATGGAGGGGTGCTGCTGACCAGGGTGTGTACATGACTTGCTCAGCCTGTTTTCTTATAGAACCCAGGACCGCTAGCCCAGGGATGATGGCCCCACGCACCATGGGCTGGGCTCCCTCCCACATCAATCATTAATTAAGAAAATGCCTTACAGCTTGATTTTTTTCTTTTTTTGTTTTTGTTTTTCAGGACAGGGTTTCTCGCTGTTGTCCTGGCTGTCCTAGAACTTGCTTTGTAGACCAGGCTGGCCTTGAACTCACAGAAATCCACCTCCTTCTGCCTCCCAAGTGCTGGGATTAAAGGCATATGCCACCACATCCAGCTTTACAGCTGGATCTTATGGAGGCATTCCTCTTTTTAATATTTTTTTAAATGTGTATTTATTTTTATTTTATTTGCATTGGTGTTTTGCCCGAATATATGTCTGTGTAAGGGTGTCAGATCTCCTGGAACTGGAGTTACAGACAGGTGTGAGCTGTCATGTGGATGCTGGGAGTTGAACCTGAGTCCTCTGGAAAAGCAGCTCAGCCCTCACCCGCTGAGGCACCTCTCCTGCCCCATGGAGGCATTTTCTCCACTGAGGGTCCCCTCTTTCAGATAACTCTAGCTTGTCTCAAGCTGATATAAGATTAGCCAGCAGGCCGGGCGGTGGTGGCGCACGCCTTTAATCCCAGCACTCGGGAGGCAGAGCCAGGCGGATCTCTGTGAGTTCGAGGCCAGCCTGGTCTACCAAGTGAGTTCCAGGAAAGGCGCAAAGCTACACAAAGAAACCCTGTCTCGAAAAACCAAAAAAAAAAAAAAAAAAAAAAGATTAGCCAGCAGTTTCTTTGCCTTTGGGGAAGGAACCATTCTCAAGGTCTTAGAACCTGAAAGTGGTGTGCACTGTCCACACTAATGACTGCTGCTTTCCGTCATAACCCCCAGGACCCGCTATGCCAAGATTACATTTTGGGGTGCAGCGGTTTGAGACAGGGTCTCACACTGTAGCTCAACACGATCTCAAATTCACTCCATGGCCCAGGCCGACCTTGAACCTAACATCGCCTCTCTTGCCTCTTGGTTCTGAATTTACAGACATGAGCCTGAGTTCCTCCCAGATGCTGGACCGCTGACACACCCGATTATGGGGTGCAGGGGATGGAAGCCAGGCCCTGGGTGCATGCTAGTCAAGCCCTCTGCCAGCTGGGCATTTCCTGTAGGGCCCTGCTTCTCAGCCTTCCTAATGCTGAGACCCGTGAAGAGTTCCTCATGTTGTGGTGACCCCCCCCAACTATAAAATTATTTTCATTGCTACTTCACAACTATAATTTTGCTACTGTTATGAATCATAATATACAAATCTGTTTTTTTCCACGGCCTTAGGTGACCCCGTGTAAAGGTCCTGACCTACAGGTTGAAAACTGCTGTCTCGGGCCATAGTAAGGCACTTGGCCTTCTGCAAACTTGCTCTTGGCCAAGACTAAAGCAACATGCAACCCGATCTTTCTCTGTACCTGCAAACTCCCCCAGCAGCGCTCGCTCTCCCCTCCCATCTTATCAACCTCCTTGGAGCGAAGCCCAGCCCTGTCCTTCGCTGCAAAGTCTCCGTCCACTCCAAACATTTATTATGGCAAGGGAGGAACCTCTGACCATAGGCTATATACAAGTATATACAGGGATAGGGATGGGACGCCTTCTGGGCGCCACACGCCCTCACACAGCAGATGCCAGCTTCCGCTTGGTGCTCTCTGTGCAGCGGTGCAGGATGAGGTCGGCGCTAGGACGCGGGGGCACGGCGGGCTGCGCCTTGGTGTGCTGGGACGGCATATTGTCTACAAAGGAAGGTCGGGACTATGAGGCTCCGCCTCCTAGCCCTAAGCGGCACGTATTTTCTAGTCCTGATCTCCCCCCACTTCGTGCAACCCAACTTGGTCTTGCCCCGCCCCTTGCACCCGGGCCCCTTAGGACTTAGCCCCGCCCTCCAGCTCTGGCCCCGCCCCGTTCTGGCTCTCACTCTTTGCGCCTTCTGCGCTCTGCGGCCCGGGTCGTGCGGGGCGGCGGCGCTGCTGCTGGAATCGGACGCTGTTGCGGCGATAAGTGTCCTGGCTGAGGCGCTTCCGAGAACGCTGGTGGATACTCTGCGCGTTGCGGATGGTCGACCTGGCCCAGCAAGATGGAGGTGTCAGCACCCCGGAGTCCCTGTCCCCTGACAGGGGACACGGAGTGGACACCCATGGGACCCCAAGCCTGGCCTGAGAAAAAGTAGAGTGCGGAGAGACGGTGGCACCCTGAAATCCTAAGTCTGGCCTCAGCCAGTGGGTGCAGAGGGACTGTGGCACCCCCTCAGGTCCTAAGCCTATATTTAGCAAGTGGGGTGCAGGCAGAAGAACCTACACGAACTGGGGGTCACGGATCTTACCCTGTCTCAGAGCCCAGGCCTGTTTCCCATACCCGCTCTGGCCATCAACATGTCCTTACTCTGAGACTGCCCCGGCCTCACTGACCATCCCAAAGGACACTAAGCATCAGCGGGCTCCTCCCTATCTCTCTGTCCCGACCTTCCCCTCCATCCCTGTGTCTGCCACATCTAGCAACAGCGAAGGTACGGCACTAAATTTGGTTGATACCTACCCTGCCAGGAACCTATGACCCCCCCCCCATAGGTCTCCCTCAGGCCTACCCATTCGGGGGCCCCCTCTCTCACCTGCGCGGCGGTGCCCCACGGCCTCGGATCTGCCTCTGGGCCTGGGTCATCTCCTCCCCAGCCTTCTGCAGATATATGGATGGGAAGTAGCCGGTGACATCCCCTTTCCTGCAAGATGGGCCACACTGGAGGCTCAGGCAGTAGTCATGAGGGGGGTGTGCCCAGAGCTGGAGGCCTTCAGGGTGCCTCAACCAGGGGAACCAATGCAGGCTAAGAGATTCCAAACATCCACACCCAAAAGGCCGGACTGTTTCCTCATCTGTAGCAACACACGTCTCCCCCGCCCCCAGCCCTCCCTTCCAAGGCTGGGCAGGGGGAGAAAGTTAGAGGTGTATTCTGCCGAGGAGTGCGTTGTGGACACTTTTAAGAGTCCCCATGTTGGCCGGGCAGCGGTAATGCACTGGGGGAGGTGGGGGGCGGGGTGCCTTTAATCCCAGCACTCGGCCCGCAGCGGGGGGCAGAGGCAGGCGGATCTCTGTGAATTCAAGGCCAGCCTGGTCTACAGAGCGAGATCCAGGACAGGCACAAAGCTACACAGAGAAACCCTGTCGGGGGGCGGGGGGGGGGGGCGGCGGTCCATGTCATTTTCTTCTTGCTTGCTTTTGGTTTTGATTGCTTGATTTCGGAAGGTCCTGGAGAGGAGAACTCCAGAATCACAAGCCTAGCCAAGCCTAGCTCAGAGCCCACCCAGGTAGATGTATGCAGGGGGAGGGGCTCTCCTACCTGACCACCCACCAGCCATCCAGGAGCTTATGAATGACCTCGATGGCTTCACCCTCGGCCAGGGACATTTCATCCTCTTCCACAGCAGTGTAGGCTTTGATGGCTACATAGGGTTCACCTGGTCCACGGAGGAAGCACCCAGTGAGGTGAGAGTCTGTCTGCTCAGCTCCCAGGACTCTACTCCCTGCTCCCTAGGTGCTAGGCTTCCTCCAACTGTCCAGCAGCCACCACAGACACACAAGTCCCTCCTCGGTCCCCTCAGATCTATTCCTTCTTGGTTTCCCTCTCTAGGTTTTTAGAGATTTTATTCTCAACAATATAAGGATGGGACCAAGGGTTTGCAACATGCAGTGAAAGAGCTTTACTGTTGAACCATGTTGAACATGCCCCTCACTGGGGGATTCTAGGCAGGAGCTCTACCACTGAGCCACACCCCAGCCCCTCACTGGGGGATTCTAGGCAGGGGCTCTACCACTGA